GCCTTTATTCTTTTTATTGATAGACAATATGTTTATGTTGTCTGAATGTTTACTCTTTTGATGATTAAGAAGTATGGAACATCCGTTTGAAAAAAAATATTTTAAAAAAACGTAATTTTTCAGATTTCCAGTCACGTTTTTATTATTTTTAACCATTATATTTATAACCTAGTAAAAATTATACTATAGCTCATCTTTTAAAGGTCCTAAGTTTGTATATTTATTTACTTTTCCTGTAGAATTACATAGTAAATTCAAAAATAAAAATTGAGGTCCATGTCATCTACAAGTTTCCATGTTTTCCCATACCGCGATACAATGAGACTCTCCAATTTTGGAGGTAAATAAGACTTCCTGTTTTAAAAATAGACAATAACTTAAACGATGCAAGCTTGGTAAATAATTTTACACTAATAATTTAGTCCATAGATTGGTTTATGAATATTTTTTGATGAAAGTTAAAAGTAAAAAATTGGAATAACACTTTTTATGCAAAAGGATTAAGTACCGCGATATAATGAGACACCAGTATACATTGAAACGATGCAAAATGGTACATACCTTTATATAATCCTGTTCAAAATGAATGGATTGCAGTTAATTTGTCCATAATCTTCGTGAAACATAATAACATTCACTCTCCGCCATGCCTTCGTCATAAAATTTCCCTCGCTAAATACTCTCGAAAAATGACGTCATGTGATACGAGCTTGAATTTTAGAAAAATTAAAATAAAGGATTTATAAGCTTATACAAGGAGAATTGATTTTAATTTGATATCTATTTTTTTTTTCTTATTATTTTTTATGAAATTCGTTGATGCAGGTCAACATGGGTGGATCTAAAGGGGATGGAACCACGTGTGGTACCCAACACCCTTGACAAAAAGCTTATAAGATATATGAATTTAAAACACCGATATGAAATCATTAATTATAACACTGATTCTCCCATCCCTTGTAATTGTATTCGAGAAATATAGTAGTAATATCTTCAAGACCGGGCCCTTTCATTTTAAGTTCTTGGATCTGTTCTCAGTTGGATATTCTCATATGAAAATGCTGGTAGATAAATATCTGATAAGTAAAAGGATTTATCATCATGCTCATATCGTCTATGATTTTCATAGATTATCACTGTGTTCTTTTTCTATCAGTATTTTATCAATCCGTACGGAAGGACGGAATTCCACGGTCTTGTACTAGCAGTGTCAATCCGAAGATAATTTTCTTTTAGTAAAAGGTGATAAGTGTAAGGATCGGGTGATAAGAGAGAGAGAGAGAGTTTTTTCTCTGTCATAATGATTTAAGACGTCTTAACTTAGGAAAATCGAGAGAGAGAGAGAGAGAGAGAGAGAGAGTTTAAATGGTTTTTTCCGGGTGACCAATGATTTACTGTAAACCAACTTTTATTCGCGACGACTTTATTTCGCGATTTACTAAAGGTAAACTCATTCGCGACGATTAATTTTCGCGATCAAGTCTTTTTTTTAAATATTTCAATAGGCACAGAGTCTTCAAAGACAGGTTCGCGGCGAGAAATATTCGCGATGTTGAGGCAGTCGCGAACCTCGCGAAAATTTCTCGCACGCGAATAAAAGTTGGTTTACAGTAGTCTTTGGGGGGAGAGGGCTCCTCCAGATTTGCCTACTTCCTTACGATTTTGCGCTGCATTCCGTTTCACTCATGTAAACTGGCGCACTTCTCATCGTTCAAGAATTCTGAATGATCAAATGGCACTCTATTTGATTTTGAATGTAACCAATGTCACAGTATATCGTCGAATTTATATGATTAATAATTAAAAATAAATAATTCATATTTATAAATCAAACAGAAACTCCAATTCTTTTTTTTTAATTTATACTCTTTTAAATATTTCCATAATGATGACATAACGTGTAGCATTATATATTGCAAAAAATTGCAACTCTCTTATCCCTGACAATGGTTAAAAGTTTAGAGTATTTATATCTCATAATGATTTAAGACGTCTTATCTTAGGATGATCATAGGATAGCTTTGAAAAACACCTTAAGATAATCTTACGATGATCCTAAGATTTTCTTAAGATATATCTTAGGAAATTTCTTATGAACAATCTTAGGAAAGTTTCGTAAACATGCCTGCTGACTTACGACAATCATAAGATTTGTTACTGCCGTTTCACAAAACGATCTTAAGTATTAGAAATCTTACGACAAGTCTTAAGACAAATTCCATTCTCAATATCACAGGGATTTTTATTTAAAATATGTCTTTTTTTTAATTTTCTTTGAAATATTGATATAACGTGCGTCTCAGTTTGTTTCTTTTGCAGATATACCCTCGGGGGGGGGGGCATTTTATTGTATCAACTTTAATGTTTTTTTGTGTTTGTGAGGGGTCATTAAAATTAAATTTGAATTAATTTCATCACAAAATTTTAATAAATAAAGTTTGCTTAAATGTCTTTTTTTTTTGGCTCCGGAAATGGTAGTTTCTGACAAAATGCATGTGATTTAGACTACTAGTGTATTTGAAGCTTTGCAAATACATGTAATGAACGATTTTAACAATGACTCCTTTTGAAACACCAAATCGTGTTCAAAGTTCGTTCATAACATTAATTCGATGCAGGTGTCTTTGAAACGCTTCAACTACTGCAACAAAATATCAATGATAACAGATGAAGAAGGGAAACGAAAGAAAAAATTCCAATAGAAATGTTACGGTTTCAATACTATTATAAAAAAAGGCATAAAGAAAGCCTGTACATTCAGCATCAAATACCCGGGGGTATTACAGCATACTAAATTGTCATACACATTCCGGTGGATTAATGAGGATGACTCAAAATTATCCCATGACCGACAAATTTTTCTTTGATCTTCACAAGGGTGTATTTCTCATATCAACAAAAGTGTTGTGATATATTAAATATCACATATGTGATATAAAGCTAGTGATATCCAACAGTTATACCCTAGATGTAGGAGGAGCTATGCAAATGAGACAATAATTTGTTTCTAGATTTTAATGAACTTACAGAAACAAGAAAAAAACACACAATACAGATAGTTAACACAGTTTAAATCAAAATGCACAAATCTTTGCAAAAAAAAGACACTGATATGGTCTGGCGGAGCAATTCTCGAAGCGGATAGCTTCATCTCCTATAGGAATTCGCACATTCAATGGTAGTTTCCTTCCGGGCATCCTCTGAAAAGTTCATTTCATGAACACCTTGCTCTCATGTACAGTAGAATATCGGAACAGATTTGATATAAAGTCCTCGATCGGGGGTAGGGAAATCCGTATGCGCCCCTGGCTTCAATTACAGTGTACAAAACATGATATAGTGTTCGAAAGTTCTTGGTATATAAAAGTGAGTATTTCGGGAATTATTTTAAACTCACCAAGTTGTTGTTTCGCTGAGATTTCCAGTCGTTGAACACTTGAACCATGTTGACTGCCCATGAACTGATGAAGTGTTACGGCGTGTGGTTTTACTTTCTTGATTTTTTAAGCGCACTTATTTCACTGGCCGACACATATTTTCCGAATCTGTATAGCTAGTATTTTCAGTCCATTCCGTAAAATTTTCCCGTTTCAAATTTTCAATTCCGAAAATGATCCCAAACACCAACACTGTAAATCGAAATTCATAAAAGTCCTGGCCACATGGGCCATTTCTAAATCCGACCGCCTGAGTTCATACAATCTGAACTGTTTGACTCGATTGAAAATTATCCTCGTCGTAGGCTTGCTGCAAAAACGGCGATTCTTTACGCTATAGACCCCTTCTACTACTTTCTCCAAATCCATAGAATACAAATGAATTGATTATCTCAAGAAAATGATCACGTGGTACAGTACGAAGAAAATTTACCAAATTTGTAAATCCGTTACTTGGATACCAAAAACCCTTCGCGTTAAGACTATCACGTGGTTCTGATTCAGAGTCTTTATTAGTTGATGCAAAGAAAATACCTAATATGGGAAGAGGTCAAATGAAGGGTCATGGGATAAATCAGTTACATGATTGACAGCTCGATGATGCATACAAAATATCGTTTCGTTATTGCAAACTCGGAGGCTAACGCCTCCTCGCGTGCAATAACTCAACGATATTTTGTATGCATCATCTCGTGTCATCATGTAACTATTACATAAAACTATTTGATTGTTGTACGGGTGAATGTAATGTTTACTTTGAAATTAAATCACCACAGTTAGAGACATATAAAAACAATTTATATATTGTCTGCCACAATGTAAAGTAAAATCCATGGACTTTTCAAATCCATAAAAATGCATATGAACTTAAGAAGCATTTGGTGGGTTTTTGTTTGTTTGTTTTTTTTTTTTTGGGGGGGGGGGCTATTTCAATTGGGATTGGGCACAATCAAAGAAAAATGTCTTGACATGAATAAAGTAAAAAAAACATTAAGTATGTTATTTTAGTTTCCTATCGTATATTTTTTTGGGCAAATTATTGGGGGGGGGGGGGCCGTGTCATTGTTCTCACTGGCGGATATAGTCCAAAGGATTGTTCTATTTCTAAAAACCGTTTCTTTAAATATCCTTGGGTTTTTAGACAAAAGATACACTGTCGCCAGTTTCCCTGTAGACTTAAGACATGTATCTAGTTGTCCTAAGATGATGATAGATCTTAAGATTATCATAAGATATGACAGTTTTGTGAAACGGCTATGTTGCAATCTTACGATAATTTTCGGTCTTAAGACAGATCTTAGTCATAAGATAGTTTTGTGAAACGGGCCCCTGGTTGGCAAGTTTGCCAAATATAAGAAAGTCCACACTCAGACAGTATACATGTAGATTTGATAAAGTTTCTTAAAAACAACAGATCCGATGACAATTCATCACCTTGTAAAAAGATTGTTTACATCAAAAACTCTTAAAATGGAAAGAATGATTTAAGAACATATACGTCAAGAGAAACAACATTTATACTCTGCTCTTACTCTCTAAACCGGTTATATGATGTCATTCTAAAAAGTCAATTTTTTAATAGAATATACTAGTAGATACATTACTAATTTATTGATTTTTTCCATGGAAAATTAAGTATTTTTCTTCTCTTTTCCTTTACTTTTGGAATGTGATTTGGTGCTTCCCTTAATTTTCTTGCGTGGACCAAATCGAATATGTCTGTACAATACAGGCAGGTCTAGGAGAACAATAATCGCGAATGTGAACATAATAATTCCCACACCGACAATAGATCCTACTGCTTTTGCCGACGGACGAGGATCTGCCACGGAAATCTTGGCGTTTTTCTGGCTGGCCAGGTTCTTTTTTTCCAGCACAAGTTTCTTTTGTATGGCAGTTATTTTGTCCTGAAGTTGTTTTTGTGTCCTGAAAATCACCTGGTTTTTCATACGTGTACATGGACATTTGCATCCTGTGAAAAAATAAGAAAAGTTTTGGAAGTTTAACAAATTTTGACCAAATATGTACATACGTTAAAGTTTAGAAAAGTTTTTGCGGCGGGCGATATTTAAGAACATTCTTTGATAACATTTAAGAGATTATACTGAAGGGAAATCGCATCGTGTTGCCAAAAAACATAACACCCTCCCCCCTCAAAAAAAAAAAAAAAAAAATCAAAGAATTGTGGTCCTCCACTTTCGGTAGTCTTTGTGGGCGAGATGTCATTATTTATGGCATGTTGTGTAAAATATAAACGCCTTATCATATGTCATTCATACAAAAATATTATTAAAGTTGATAATTTTTAAATTAGGTCAAACATGAAGGTCGAGGGTCCAGAAATAATAGCATGCTCTGTTACAACGCACTTTGAAAAATTACGCACTTTGAAAATTTTTTTCAAAGTGCGTTAAAATTTGGGACCAAGCTAACGCACTTTGAAAAAAATAATTTTTTTTTCAAAGTGCGTTAATATCGACCATATCAACGCACTTTGAAAAAAATGTAAAGAGTGATCAATATTCCTTCAAATAATCGGTATGATAAATAATAGATCCTGGTTTGATAATTTTTTTGTTAAAGTCACTGTAGGACCTGATATATTGACGTTTTAAATATTTAAGGTTTTGATAAAATAAGAGGGAAAATTTAAGGGTCTTGAAAAAAAAAGAGTGACGATTGTTTAAGTTCATTAATTCGTTTCTTTTTTTTTAAATTCTAGTCTTTGATAAGTAGATGTAAAGGTGTATAGGGGGCACTAACAGAGGACAGCTTCAAGCAACTTAAAATTAGCATTTATCATAATAAAAAAGGGGCCAATTTGTTTATTCAAACTATGAAAATTCTTTCTCTCTCATACGTTTTACTGTACTTAAAAATTTCTAGTCTTCATCTGTTTTAATTAACTCATTTATTATTGAAAGTTTTCAACGTCATACCAGTTAGGTAAATACATAATTATATGAATGCTATGAGTATGGCATAGACATCGAGACTTGGTGAAGGGCCAGGGGAGGGGATGGGGGGCTAAGCCCCCACTTATTTTGGAAAGATACGTACATCGTATAAGCATTGAAAATGCAGCGTACCCTTTTCAGGTTTATTGCTCCCCTCCCCCGTTTGTTACCGACACCTATGTATTGGAAAGATAAAGATTTGGACTGAGGGATCTTATACCCGTCTTCTCCTCTTTTCGACGGGAGTAAATCAATTCATTTTTGAGGTTAGGGTTAGGCTTAGTTTTTTGAAAGATAAATAACAAATAAAATTTTTCCATGACTAAAATATGATTTTTTTTTTCAAAGTGCGTTAAGTGTCTCCATGGTAAAATATATTGATGTAGACTCTTAACGCACTTTGAAAAATTGAAAAAAATTTTCAAAGTGCGTAATTTTTTCAAAGTACGTTGCCACAATGCTCGGAAATATCTCACAGGTAATACACATGTCAAATATGAAAGCCCCATCTTCTGCATAAAAAGTTACACGGGAAAATTAACATTTTTGAAATTAGGTCAAACGTTAAGGTCAAGGTAACGGGTTTAAAAATCATAGTGCATTTAGAAAAGTCTTGTCACAGGTAATATACATTTGAAAGATGAAAGCCCTAAATCTTCTTATTCCAAAGTTATGACCAAGATTAAAGCTTTTTTAAAAAGTAGGTCAAACTTCCAGGTCAAGATCACGGGGTCAAAAACCATAGCTTATTTAGAAAGGTCTTGCCACAGGTAATACACATGTAATATGAAATTCCTATCTTTTTTCATTAAAGAGGTATAACCAAAGTTAAAGTTTTTGTGACAAGCGGACAAGTCTACAAACTGACAGACAAACAGACGAATTAGATTAAATGTCCCCTCCTTTATCTCGAAAGCGGGGGGGGGGGGGGCTATAAGCACATTTGTCAAAGAAAATCTCCATTTAAAAAAAATGGATAACTTGGTTAAAGAAGAAAGTGTGAAAACAAGCATTTCTTTTACCTCGACCTCCAAGTGAAGAGTGTTCGAATTTGACTCTGGTTGTCATATGCGGAAATATTAACAAGTGGATTATGTTTTGATAGGAACTGTCTTTCAATTTGTGTTATTCTAACATCGAAAAGTCAGACTGGTATACAAGTGAATTCTGTATAGACCCCCTGATTTCCAGCTAGCTCAGATCTGTAGCTCTCGGAAAAAAAATATATTGATAGACCGGAGAGCTACAGTGCCATCCATTGAAAAAACTGTATATTTATTGCTCACAAAAGAGTGCGCTCTGTTCTGGATTTATTCTTCCAAATTCTTACCTCAGTTGCATAATATGGAAGATTGAAAAGGAAATCTCTCTTTTCCATCAAGTACTCTCGTAGTTGACATCTGAACGAAGCATATTGGACCGAATTATCTTTGAAACCAAAATGGCAGTATGTATAAGCGAAATGTTCGATGATTACAAAATCAGGGCCAGGAGGACTATTAACAACAATTATGATGAATGTTTTGTTGTGGAAAAAGTCAAAGAATATGTCAGGAACACACTGTTAGTAATATTTTGAGATTACAGTTTTAAAAACATGAAGAAATAAATCGAGAACCGAGCGCACTTTTTTGTGCGCAATAAATATACAGTTTTTTCAATGGGTGGCACTGTAGCTCTCCGATCTATCAATATATATTTTTTCGGAGAGCTACAGATCAGCAGCTAATTTCCAGCCAGCGATGATTTCATGACTTACTTTTACAGTAAGGTATTTCCTTTTCCCAGGATCCACCAGATCCACACTCTTGCTCCAAAGAACCATTCATAAACCGGGTATCTTTGGCACATTTAAAATTCAGCTTCTCTCCTACTTGAAAATTTTGCTTTTTCGATGTTCCTTCAAGGACAACGTTAAGGTTGGACTTAAACTTGGACATCAGTTTGTCCAGATTGCACAGTGCTGGGGATGTGGTTACTTTTGATATTTCCAGGTTAGGACTGGTTGTACTTGTTTTCCTTGTTGAGGTAGTTGTCTGAGTTGTTGTTGGTTGTGGGCTCTTTGTGGTGGTTGTCTGGGTTGTTGTTGGTTGTGGGCTCTTTGTGGTGGTTGTCTGGGATGTTGGTTGTGGGCTCTTTGTGGTGGTTGTCTGGGTTGTTGTTGGTTGTGGGCTCTTTGTGGTGGTTGTCTGAGTTGTTGTTGGTTGTGGGCTCTTTGTGGTGGTTGTCTGGGTTGTTGTATGTTGTGGGCTCTTTGTGGTGGTTGTCTGGGTTGTTGTTGGTTGTGGGCTCTTTGTGGTGATTGTCTGGGTTGTTGTTGGTTGTGGGCTCTTTGTGGTGGTTGTCTGAGTTGTTGTTTGTTGTGGGCTCTTTGTGGTGGTTGTCTGGGTTGTTGTTGGTTGTGGGCTCTTTGTGGTGGTTGTCTGGGTTGTTGTTGGTTGTGGGCTTGGTGTGGAGGTTGTCTGGGTTGTTGTTGGTTGTGGGCTCTTTGTGGTGGTTGTCTGGATTGTTGTTGGTTGTGGGCTCATTGTGGTGGTTGTCTGAGTTGTTGTTGGTTGTGGGCTCTTTGTGGTGGTTGTCTGAGTTGTTGTTGGTTGTGGGCTCTTTGTGGTGGTTGTCTGGGTTGTTGTTGGTTGTGGGCTCTTTGTGGTGGTTGTCTGGGTTGTTGTTGGTTGTGGGCTCATTGTTGTGGTTGAAGTTGTGCTTGGGCTTGATGTTGACAAATGGGCTAGATATATAATTTAGATGAATTACATGTATAATATTTTGAAGTTTTATATGAATTGAACTAATTCAAATTCTACATGGATGTAATTACATATGCATCTGGAAATATGTTGCTTGTTTATATGCTTATATACAGACAAAGGTGGGGAAAAAGATTTTGTTGATTCTGTAATGAATCCACCGACTCTGTGGTATGGCAAACCCATTCGAGAGAAAAAAATAAGATGTATCTTTAAATAAAAGAAATGATATTATGTAGCAGTACTTCTTTAATGAGATTAGCTCAAATTTAACACCAAAGTTTACAGGTGACATTACCGTTTTTCACTCTGACTCTGTCTTCATCATTTTGGAAATGAATCTCTGAAGTCTTATGTAGTTTACAAACTTTCCGCCTGTTAGAATTGACTGCATATTTGCATAATATAAAACAAAGAGCAACGATCTTTTTATATACGTTGTTCAAAGGGTCATATTTTGAGTTATCTGGAATGTTGTAACAAACTTACATTATGCAAACTTTAAAACTTATAATCAGTCGCAAGGGGGAAATGTATAAATAGGCTGTCTTTGGAGGGTGTATGATGGGGTTAAATAAAAGTATCATTGCATGATTCTGCACTCTGCTGCTGCAGTTCATTGTATACAAGTTTACCAATCGAAATAAACTTAGTCAATTTGTTTCGCAACTGAATTCAAAACATAAATGAAAAGCCACACTTTTCCTATTTCGTGTTCTGAATTAGAAAAAATAAATCAACGAACTAGCTGGAATTGCTTTTAATTCACATTTATTTTCTTTGATAAGAATCAAAAGCAACTATCAACTAGTGCTAATTGTAACGGGAACCGTTACAGATGTTCCCCAAACGCTCCCCTACTCCCTTCTCGTGCCATATTACCTGTAAGTTTCATCAAAGAAGGCAAAATCTATGCATTTTAGACGTAAACAAAGTTTTCCCAAAAGTATACCAAATATTTCAAATTTAAGCAATGCAGGCGTGTACATGTGATTGCATGAGCGTAATGACGATATCATCTTGTCTACACTTTTTACTCATTGGACGTGCAAGCACGTGCATGATGACCATACCTTTTTGTAGGTGTCCATTATGTCTGTCTATGTTCTTAATCCCATCCTGTTTGGTTGAAAAACAAGGGAGTTATAGCCATTTAAAGTTTAAGCCAATCAGATTACAGCGCACGTGCATGCGCGTGTTTTCATGACAATTATTATATATCGTATTGTAGGACATCTTAAAGTATGCCTATGTTTTAAATTTCAAAGCATTTTGTAAAAAAACAGAAAAGTTATTGAGATTTTTGTTTCAGCTAATCAGAGCAAAGCACATGTGCACGCACGTGCATGCATGTGAATGGTGACCATACCATCCTGTAGGAGTTCTTTATGTCTATCTATGTTGTAAATCCCATGCTGTTTGGTTGAAAACCAAGGGAGTTATAGTCATTTAAAGTTTCGGCCAATCAGATTGCAGCGCACGTGCATGCGCGTGATCTGATGAAAAATTTTATATATCATATTGTAGTACATCCTAATGCATGTCTATGTTATAAATTTCAAAGCATTTCATGATAAAACAAAAAAGATATTAAGATTTCTGTTTCAGCCAATCAGAGCAGAGCGCACGTACATGCGCGTGAGTTCATGCAAATTTGACCTTGTCATCTTATCTACACATCTTATATATCTTTATATAATGAGTTTCAAAACATTTTATCAAAAAATATAAAAGATACAACCATATTAAATATATCAGTCATTTTACTCATTGCACGCGCCCGCACGTGCATGCGAATGCGCGCAAAATGACCTTCGTTCGGCACATCTACACAACATGCCTACTTACCCTAAAAAGGTTTTAACTTAGTTTGGTGAACAGTTTCTGAGAACACTTCCGGACAAAAAAGTACCGGAGAAGAAATAAGAAGAAAAAAGAATAATAACTAGAAACTCTTGTTGCTACAGCAACAAAGAAGGTCTTCCGTTCTCTTCTATTTATCTGAATGAATGAGCTTTTTATCTATGTTAAAAAAGGCATATAATATTTTAAATGATTTCAGGAAAACAAACAGCCGGAGGTATAATTTAAAAAGATATTTTACTTTACTTTAGACAATTATATAGTCTTAATAACATGTACAAAAATCATTTTCAATTTTTTAAATCACTTTCTGTGACGACCGGAAGTGATGGAGGACGCATTCTACCCTATATTGGTTGGCCAATTTTCATGGTTTCTCGTTATATTATCTTCTCATTTTGAGGACAAGAAATCATGTGACCGGAAGTAAATTTTGAAAAGATATTTGAGGTTACTCTAGAAATTTCAGTCTGAAGAACATGTCCTTAAATCATTTGAAATGCTCTTTTTATAAAAATATTTATGGGATAGTATGATATTAAATTTATGCAGTTTTTCTTTCATAACCGGAAGTTGTCATTTCTGTTTCCAGTGGGGCCGACATATTTCAAAACTACAAATAAGATGATAAAATCTCTTACTAAGAAAGATTCCATAAGAAAAGTTGAATATTTTTATTTATTTGTTCACTTCCTGTGACAACCGGAAGTGACTGCGGACAACGTTAACCAAAATGGACTTGCCTACGTATAAAGATCTATCAGTCCTATAAGTTTGGTGTCTAAATATCTTACCGTTTACGAGATCTAGCTATGATAACTTCTCATTTTGAGGACAGGAAATCATGCAACCGGAAGGGAATTTTACAAAGATATTTGACGTTAATGTAGACATTTGCAGTCTGAATAACATATCTAAAAGTCATTAAAATACTTTATAAATAAAAAAATATTTATGGGAATGAAAAATACTCAAATTATGTAGTTTTTCTCTTATAACCGGAAGTTGTCGTTTTTTTCTTTCCGGTGGTACTGAAATATTTCAAAACTACAAATAAGATGCTATAATATGATGCAAAAACAGTTTCATAAAAGAAAAGTTGAAATTTCGATTTTTTGGATCACTTCCTGTGACGACCGGAAGTGACGGCTGACAATCTTATCACAACTGATTTTGCCTACTCATCAAGTTCTATCACTCCTATATGATTTGTGTCTTAATCTCTTACCGTTTATGAGATCTAGCTATGATAAGTTCTCATTTTGAGGACAAGAAATCACGCGACCGGAAGTAAATTTTAAAAAGATAATTGACGTTACTGTAGACATTTGCAGTCTGAATAACATATCCAAAAATCATTACAAATAGTTTATCTATAAGAAATATTTATGAGAAAGAAAAATACTGAAAAAATGCTGTTTTTCTCTTATAGCAGGAAGTTGTCGTTTTTGTTTCCGGTGGGGATGACATATTTCGAAACTACAAATAAGATGCTGTAATGTGATGCAAAAAAAATTTCAAAAAAGAAAAGTTTAAATTTTCGATTTCTTTGATCACTTCCTGTGACGACCGGAAGTGACGGCGGACGATCTTAACCCAAAAGGGCTCGCCTACTAATCATGATCTATTACTCATATAAGTCTGGTGTCTTCATCTCTTACCGTTTCTGAGATATGACTATGACAAAATATTTCTGAAAAAACAGGAAATCGGACCAATCTGACGACCGGAAGTGATATTTGAAAAAATGAAAAAAAACGCCTGAGCGTATTTAGGTTCTCTATCATCCCTGAAAATTTCAAGAAAATCCGCCCAGCCATCTCTGAGAAATCCGATTTACAAGAAAAGGGGAAAAAAATAATAATAATAAAAAGAAACAGTAGAATCACTATAAGGTCTTCCGTCTGAAACGGAAGACCTTAATAATAACTAGTGCTAATTGTAACGGGAACCGTTACAGATGTTCCCCAAACGCTCCCCAACTCCCTTCTCGTGCCATATTCCCTGTAAGTTTCATTAAAAAAGGCAAAATCTATGCATTTAAGACGTAAACAATGTTTTTCCAAAATTATACCAAGTATTTCAAATTTAAGCAATGCAGGCGTGCGCATGTGATTGCATGAGCGTAATGACGATATCATCTTGTCTACACTATTTTACTCATTTGCACGTGCACGCACGTGCATGATGACTATACCTTCTTGTAGGAGTCCATTACGTCTGTCTATGTTCTTAATCCCATCCTGTTTGGTTGAAAAACAAGGGAGTTATAGCCATTTAAAGTTTAAGCCAATCAGATTGCAGCGCACGCGCATACGCGTGATTTCATGAAAAATTTTATATATCATATTGTAGTACATCCTAATGCATCTCTATGTTAGAAATTTCAAAGCATTTCATCATAAAACAAAAAAGATATTGAGATTTCTGTTTCAGCCAATCAGAGCAAAGCGCACGTGCATGCGCGTGAGTTCATGCAAATTTGACCTTGTCATCTTATCTACACAACTTATATATCTTTATATAATGAGTTTCAAAACATTTTATCAAAAAATAAAAAAGTTACAACCATATTAAATATATCTGTCATTTTACTCATTGCACGCGCCCGCACGTGCATGCGAATGCGCGCAAAATGACCTTCGTTCGGCACATCTACACAACATGCCTACTAACCCTAAAAAGGTTTTAACTTAGTTTGGTGAACAGTTTCTGAGAACACTTCCGGACAAAAAAGTACCGGAGAAGAAATAAGAAGAAAAAAGAATAATAATAATAACTAGAATCTTGTTGCCATGGCAACAAATAAGTCTTCCGTTCTTCTAAATCTGTAAGAATTTGCTTTTTTCTCTGCAAAAAACAAAGATATCATATGTACTCTGAAAGAAAAAAAAATGCAAAAAGGTCTTTCAGTACTTAAGGTACTATGATTTTCATGACCAATCTTGTTCTTATGCATTTTGGCACTCATAAGAGCTACACGTGTATCATAAACAAACCATTGAAACCAACGGACGAACGAACACCGTACTCTCATAAACTTCACTGTGTTTATGTTCTGGCACAATTGTAAT